CAGTATGTACAGTATGTAAAGCACTGATGTGCAATGTTTTTTTGCTCAATTGCACACGTTCATACCGCTCATAAAATATTTCTACGTATTTCTATCTAATTTATGTGCATCAAAATCTGTAAATCACTCTTTAAAGTGCATTATTCGAATGTTAATAAGTAAATAAGTCATGTTCAGTGCTAACATACAATATTCTTGCCCAGTCTCATTGCTTACAGCCTTCAAAACTACATATCTTTATATATATTGTGTGTACATATATACACACACACACACAGGTGTATTTATGTTTTATGCACCATGTGAGGGAGTATAGCTATAATTTCATTATGCTTGCATAATGACAATGAAACCTTATGCAGTCATACCCAAACAACAAATAGGCTACCAAGATACTGAGTCATGAACACTGGAAACTCTCCTGCCATATGAAATGTAACCATCAAAATCCATAATAGCAGAAATAAACTGACAGCATCAGCACCGGAGAGGGGGAGGCGGGGACGGTCCCGACAAGTGTGAAAATCTCGAACACGTTTAGATTGGAGGTATTGGGTGGCCATCTGTCACCTACCTACTCCCACCAGGCTTTCTTAATCACACCTTCTTGTATTTCATGGTGGCGTATTTAGTCCTCGCAGAGCAGCTTTGCGTTAGCTAATACTCTTTGTACCAGGGCTTGATGAACAAAATCCTTTAGTTTCAGCTAAATGTTATATTCCTCGAATATCCCGACTGTTAAAAAAACATATACATATACCGTCACTGAATCCGGCTGGGTGTTGTCCCCAAAGTTGAACCCTGACGAGTTACAACATGAGCAATCAGTTCGCTTTTCGTGAGCACACACATGTAAATACACTCCACATCGCCCACCCTGAACACCCTGGCTGGTAAATCAGGCGCTTATTCGCCGCCTGACCACTCGCAGCTGTCAGTTAGCAGCAGGCTGGCTAGGCTCTCAAAGCTAACCAACGTCGCTTCAGCCATGGTTAGCTACAGGCAGCAAACAGGCTCATCGCCAGGCGGCAGCGGCAACCGGATAATTAACCCACCGGCCCTGGAGTGCCTGCACGGCGGGCGACAGCACGAGGAAACACGTTTCATTCATACGAGGCTTCTCACATTAAAAAAAAAAATGTGTGTTTTGCGGGTATCAACTTACATGAGCGCTCAGAGGATTGTGTTGATGACCGTTCATTTCTCCCGATGGTGGACACTCCCACGGTGACGTCAAATAGCGTGCTCGACGTCAGAGCAGTACCGAGCTCTCGCCCATCCTTCGTGCGTGTGATCCACGCAGGTGAGCAGGTTGACTGCTGGGTCACACGTCCCTGACCTTGCACTGTTCAAGTGAATGTTTTCAGGCGTGGCTGCATATATTTCCTCTTAAATTTAACTCAGTGTTTTGTTTGGAAATGTTAGGGTCTGTATTTTTACCCTGAATATAAACTTAACACAAAACAGTATAGAAACCTGGTCGATTATTTATCTGTTCTAACAATGCTTCTTTTTTCTTTTTTCTTTTATTTGGGGGGGAATAAATCTTACATCATTGAAAAAAAATGTTTATTTCCCTTTAAATGGAGCCAAATTTGTAAGGAAAATACATTTGTGGTTTGAGCAGCAGAGTTGAGTTTGTGGGTTGCATGAAAAGTTTGTCAAAACGTCTCTCCCAGTGCCAAACAGCTTATTCTGCTACTGACTCCTGTTTGGTGTCATTTTTTGGATTGGATCATTGAAGGTTGAAGGAAGAGATTAGTAATGTATTCATTTAACAAACAGGGGCAGAACTGTGGAAGAACCATACACAGCCACAACAGCCTGGCACCTCCTCCTCAGGCTGGTCATTAGCTTGGTCACACACTGCTGTGGGATGGCAACCCATTCTTCAATCAGCATTTGTTGCAAGTCAACCAGTGTGATTCTGTTGCCAAAAATTTGAAAGTAGTGTCCAATCAACCCGGCTCTGTGGGGGCAAGAGTTGTCATCTCGGAGGAAAGACCAAACACATATTTCCTTACTTTTGTGCTAAATATATTTAAATGTGACTGGTTAATGACAACATAGATGCAGAATTTCAGTTTTGGGTTTATCAATCAGTTGAACTAGAAGATAAATTTAAGATTATTCCGTTATCAAACAACATTCATGTTGAGAAATAAGAATATAAAGAAACCATGCAAGTTAAGTTTACAGGAATATCTCCACATCAAAGGAGACAGATGAGGTGGTTAAAACTCTCAGGTACCTCCTAATTAAGGCGTCTTGTGTATGTCCTACTGTGAGGGCACCTAGAGGCAGATCCAAGACACGGTGGAGGGATTAAGTCACTCAGGTGGCTTGAGAATATTTTGGGGTCCCACTAGAAGAGCTAGAGGACGTGGCTATGGAGAGAGAGGTCTGGGTATCTCTGCTAAGGTTGCTGTCCCCCTGACAGGCTCTGAGGTAATTAAGTTTTATTTATAAATCACTGATTCACAGCAACAGCTGTCTGAAGGTGCTTTATATTGTAAGGTACAGACTATTGTTCGGAGAAAACCCCAAGAATCAGACGATCTCTAGGAGCTACCTCTTTGCAAGAGTGGGAAGGGAAAGCGTTCTTTTACCAGGACATAACCTCTGACAGGGGAGCTGCAGCCAGTTGGGGAGTGAGGGGAAAGAGAAAAGAATAAAGGAGAACAAAGTGAGACAAAGGCCAAAACATACTACAGGAGACAAAAAAAAATACAGTTTAATGTCACGCAGTAGTGGTGTATAAACACCAGCTGGTGTAGAGAGGTGAGAGTGGAGTGGAAAAGAAGTGCTCAGAGTGTCATAAGAGGTCTCACAGCAGCCTAAACCTATTGTAGCAATTGTTCAGGGTCATCTGATCCAGTCCTAAATGGTTTATCAAAAAGAAACGTTTAAACCTAATCTTAAAAGTAAAGGTTGTGTCTTTGTTTCAAATTCAAACTAAGAGCTGGTTAGAAGGGAGACGGGCCTGAAAGCTGAAGGCTTTGCGTTGAATTCTACTTTTAAAAACAGGCCTGCAGCCTGAGAGCAGTTTCTGTTGGGATAATGTGCTTCTATGAATGTGCCCTGAATGTGAGGGTAAAGATTTTAAATTCAGCTCTGGATTTAACAGGAGCCAGTGAAGAGAAGCCAATATTGGGTAAATATTGTGTCTCTTTCTATCCCTTGTTAGTACTTTCTCTGCATTATTTTGGATTAACTGAAGGTTTTTCAGGTAGCTTGTAGAACAGCCTGAAATAAAGGGTTTCAATAGTCAAGCCTAACTTCTTAACATGTTTTTAATTTTAGTGATGCTGCTAAACTAATAGCTAATACTAATAACTGTAGTGAATCTCTGTTTCTGCATCTCATACCATCATCAGGTGAATATTTGATTTGATATGATAAGAGCACTGTGTCACTGTCGCAGATATTAGGACAGCTAGGCATGTTTATTAGTTATTAATATTAAGACCAAGCTAAAAGACACCATATATGAGTATAATTGTTATTTGTTGTAATTTGTTTTAATTGTACTTTTAACAATTAAAAAGCATCTTGTAGTGACAGGTCTTTGTGACTAATTGTGATTTTATATATTTTTATTTGATGGAAAGTTAGATGTGGTTTGCAGTGCTCAACTAGAGTGACTTTTGTGACACTTCTGTTGCTATAATTAAAAAATAAATAAAAACAACAAATACAATAATTTTCTTACGGACTGAATAATAAAATAAAATAAATAAAATAAGTTACTGGCAGCTTGGCAGCTGTATGCTATTAAGTTAATGTAAAAAGTATTTACAGTAATTTTACAGCAGTTATATTATAGCAAAAATGTTGCTGCATTTAATCTACTGTAACTTAAACTACAGCAACATAGTTACTGAAAATAATTTACTGTCATCCAGTTGCCAGTGAGTTATTGTAAAATGTACAGCAATCTGTTCACAGTGTACAGATGAAAGAAAGCAATCCTGCATGTTTAGTTAATGTACACATTAAGGAATGCCAAAGGATAGGTGATGCACTGACTGAAGAACAAGACAAAACAGTTGAGTATGAGTGTTTTAAACAAATTCAGTCAATGATTGTGTATCCAGTTTTGGCCTCCGATGATAAAGGAAAGGGCAAAGAGGAAACACGGCAGACAGGCTGATACTCTCTGAGCAGATGGAGCTGTGCTGGTAAGAGGTGTGGCTGAAGGATCAGGAAATACTGGCATGGCAGCCTCACGAGGAACATAATGTCATTACTTGTAAGGGTGTGGATGATAAAATGTTTGAGTCAAAAGCTTCTGAGCGGTGGCAACACTGTTGTTGACATAGTAACAGCAGTATGTTGAAGGACACACCACAGGCATCTGGTTAGTCTGAGTGTTCGGGTATTGTGGTGTGGGCTTCTGGATTTACAGGTTTAAGATGCTCGGCAGTTTGAGTTTGATCCTCTGGAGATACGAGCAGTTTGTTAGGGAATGGCAGAAAAGTATATTGAGAAAATACTAGAAACAGGCAAGTGGGGAACTTAGTGGACTTGTGATCATTTGTGGCCACAGGTATGGTTACAAAAACCACAGTCATGGAGGAGGGGCAAGAGGATGAGATGGGGTTGTGGGATGGAAAATTCCAGGTCCCACAGGGAATTGTGAGAACAGAGGAAATGGATATTGTGGATACTATGGAGAGGCAGTTCACGTCTGGGGAAACAAGACATGAGGCCTAAATGAGAATTCAGAGTAGGGAGGTGCAGGCACTTCTTAGTTTACAAAGCTTGCAACAGTACCTGAGGGAAGCTACAGATGTAGTAGGGAATACCATAAACATGTGTGATAGGTGATATTTGTTGGTGTGGGAACTACGTATTGTGGAAACACTGGGAACTGAGGGTACTGGCTGTGCCGCAGGACCTTACCACTTTCACCAGGAGGTGCGATTGGTGTTGTAGTAGGGTTAATGTTGGGTAGCAAAAGGCAAGTAACCAAAAACTCACCATCCGCTCATAAAGGAAGGAGTGAATATTCTTTATCCTGCAAGGAAATAAACTGAGTAAATGTTTGTTTACAATGTTTGACCACAAGAGGGCCCATCACACCTTGATCTGTGAGCACATGCATTAATTAGAAGGTGCAGTAAATGTCAACTGTTCAGAAAACTATTTAACAATAAATCCACAGATGCTACACGTGTAAACACTCCAGTAGTTTTAATATCTGATTATTAACCATTAATCTTTTTTTTTAATCTAGTGAATCTAAACTCAGTATTATCAATGCATATTCAATATTCATACACTAAATGAAAAGTGTTTGATTTAGAATAATTAGAATATTAAATCTATTCAGACTTTTTGATTTTATTGATGTGGTCTGCTGGGTTTTTATGATCTATTTCAAATGAATAATTTACATTTTAAAATTAATCATTAACAAATCTTTTGTTTAAAAGTAAACAGTGAGTTGCTGGACACAACAGACTAAGACTAGTTTCATGAACATAACCTTTAATAAGACAGATGTGAGATGGTATTTAGGCTATTGAAACTTACCATGAGTCTAATTTAAGTCACTCTGATGGTCACATTTGAATGTCAGCAAAGTTTTAGGTTAAACATCAATCACACTGCTGCAGGTGTTTGCACAGCACCCACTACATCATCACCATCATCACAAATCATCACAAAGTTTCAAAAACGATTGAGAAACTGTCACTGCAACATACGGCAAATGGAGGCAAGGCATCACACCTTTAATTATTATATAACGGTGCTTTTGTAAAATGATTTCAAAAGTAATCTCCAGAACCACCCCCTTTTCAAACTGTTGACCAATCATTCATTACCATGTCAACCTGTAGCGGGAGAAGTCTTTGTTGTGTATGATAAGCATGTACTGGACTAATCAGCTCTGTTATCCTGTTTTTTGTGTTTGCGCACCGCTGAGAAATACGACATTACGACATATGCATTAGGGCTACTGAAAGTAGAAATAAAAAGATTAAAGTATTTATGGGAAAAATAACCATCAAGTTTGCGATTAAAAAAAAATGTAGGTTTAAAAAAAGTACCAAATTCAGCAGGAAAAAGAAAACTCTGAAAATTTCAAATGTTTCTGAGTTTTTTTCTTGTAAATGTGCCTTTATTTAATCCTGAATTTACCACTTTGTCTCTGTACAATTTTTTTCTTGTCAATTTAGGACTTTTTGAAAATTTTGAGTTCTTCCCAATAGATTCTCCTGTCACCTGTTAAAGACATTTTTTATTTTCCACTTTTTTTTCTAACATTGGTAGTTATATCAAACAATTCAAGCTGAATAATAACACAACTAAATGCTACTAAGTTTAATTAATTCCCTTTTGTTCGGGGTAATTACCCACACCCATGTCTAAAATCTAATGTTTAAGTTCTATTCTTTTTTTCACCTCTTCTCAAAATCTTCTGTTTCTCGGTTTTTCAGCTTTACGTAAACCAGTTTTCAGTGATCTAAACATCTACTAAAACATTACATCCTTACACCTCCACGCTGACTGCCATTCTTATGATTTGAACACAAACACACACACACACACATATTTGAGGCAAAATCAATAAAAGTAAATTTGGTATGATGTAAAACATGGTTAGCACAAAATTTATTCTTTCAATTTCTAAATTTACTGTTGATCATATTATTCATATAAATTCAAATTGATTTACAAACAAGACAGTAAAAACATCCAGTCACTGTTGGTACACTAATCAGATGTCAACAGATAAGAGATGGTAATTTGCTGAATTAAAGGTAATCTGTCCTACATACACAAATAACACTGATAGAACAAAACATATTAGACCTTTATTATTATTAAATACTCACATTATTCACTAGCAGAAAAAAATCTGACTCAACAGATTTATTTAAGTGAAAGTACCATCATCTTCTCAAAAACATAAAGATCATATAAAAAGTGACAAATTTCAGGTCATACTGACTGTATTTTTGCATTATTAAACCCACCCATAGTAAACAGTTTTTACTAAAAGAAATATGATAGTTTATGTAAAAGACATTTATGTCCTTAGAGGTCTGTGACATCGTCATCTGACCAGTAATGCTGATGCATCACTGCAGAGAATTCCTCTCTCATGTATGCAGCAGCTGGAGACTCATTGCTGCCATTATTTTCAGATGCAGCACTGGGTGACTGTACTGGTTCTTTGGCCTGGAAATGGTCTAGAGATGCTGAAATGGACTCTGTGTCCATCCAGCCGTAGCTGATAAAAGCTGGAGGGAAGGGTTTTAGACCACCATCTTCATCATTGGTGCCCATTGTCCATGAGGGAGGCGGAGGTGTGAACAGACTCCCTGCTACAAGCTGTCCGTGGTGAAAAGCATTGTCAATGCTGCGCCTGAGGTTAATAGGAGATGGGGGCCGCATGTCAAACTCTATAAGTGAAAGAATACACTCACGTTCACCAACTTTTTGCCACAGCAATGCTGCCTGAGAGTCCGAGCTGCTACTACCAGGATCAGACTTGGGCTCTGATATTTGGGTGGATGTTTGATCATCATATGGGGACATTATGTTGTTGCTGATACCTGCTTTTGACAGGTTATATTTGGTCCAGTTATTTGGCATCAGGTCTTCCCAGCTTTTATCTGATTTTTTTAGTGGGACTTTCCACACAGTGGCTAACACCCTATCCCAAAAGCTTTTATCCTCCATTTGTTTGAATGCCTCCACTCTGCTCTGCACATGATCACCCCTTGTGTGACCCTTAGATGGAGTCCAGAAGATCCAAGATCCCAGGACAAGCAAAGAGAATCCCCAGGCTAACTCAAGGAGTCTCGCCCAGAACTGACTCAGCCACCAGCCCCAGCCAAAGCGCCTCCAGTTTCCCAGTAGCCCATAAAGCCAGAAGAGACTATACATCTGAAGGCTGCAGCATAGCACCCCAAGGAAAGCGCACCCTGCTATGACTCGCTTTCCGCGCCTCTCGGCCCTCTGTGAAGGAGCCCACTGTGGTAAAGAGGACCTGAGAAAGGGTTGCAGATTGGAAAGGGCCTTTGTGAGGATCCCCAAGCAAAATGGGAGGCCCCAGCAGAGGGAAAGGGTCTGTAGCAAAAGAGGGACAGCAGGGGTTAAAGTTAAAGAGTATAGATCGGCTACAAATAATGCAGAGCAATGAAATATACCAAACCCTCCAACCACCCATGGGTGCTGCAGCTTTAGTGGGAAAAGTAATAAATTTAACCCTTTCAGTGTAACCAGAGCGAGAGCAAGCTGCGCCCACAGAAGAAGCTGCAGAGGAACATTATGTAGCGCTGCCAGAGTGGCATGAGACAGAATCTGACGGGTACCATAGGGGTCAAGCATGAGGAGGATGGTACGCAAAGAACCACCCATGATTAGGAAGCTATTTGCCAGGATCAGGGTGTAACAGAGGGGCCGAGGAAGCGTACATGCTCCAGCCATCCCCAAAACTGCCAGGCAAGCCATCAGCGAGAAAAGGCTGGCAGACCCAAAGACGTGCAATTCCCAGGCAAACGCCAGTGTGCGCCTCATGTCATCCCAGAGCAGACTGGTGCCATTAAAGTTTTTAAGAACAATACACGGCCCAACACCCAGCACGCAGGGGCCTCCAGGTTCTGAAGGTTTATAATTTATCATGGAAGTAAACGCACTGGTATGGAAAGGAAGTTTAGGGCGGTCTCCACCTGAAAGAAAGAGAAGATTTTATATTTTTAATTAAAAATAATTTCATGGTGAATTTTTACATACTGTTAGCCCGATTACTAGCATAGTTGCACAGCACGCAGTGTCACAGACAGCTACATGGAACCAAAAGATCCAATATCAATCACTTTTACTTTATTTGCTTTTTAAATAGATTTAAATTTGATTTTTCATACAAAAACGTGAAAAGAGGGATATAATTTTATACTAGATCTCACTGTGACCACCTGACAATTTAATGCAGTTAAAGAAAAACGTAAAGTAATGCACTATGTGTGCTACTTCACTTGCATATCACAGCTTTACTTACGAGTTGGGAAGTTGTGTTTCACAGCAGAGGTATGACTCTCTTGTAAGCGCTCTGCTGTTATGTGGCCGCCTTCCAGCAGAGCTCCCTCTGAGATTACGGGTACACTGGGGTGAGTGTTTCCTGTAATTGAAGTATTAGCTTTGTCAGCTCTTGGGTCCAGAGGCCCTGAGTGGTGCAGGCTGGGTTCTGTCCCCACTATGATTCCAGACCCAGAGTGGGTTTCTTTGCTCAATGGAGTGACAGCCTGATTGATGAGTTGCTGCAACTTCATGCTGCCAACACTATACCGGCTGCCTTCTACAGGGCTTTCTGATTGAAAGATTACTTCGCTGGCCAAGCTGTCCAGGCTGCTGTTGTTTCTGGCTCTACTTTGAGTTATTTGGACTGAGCCAGAGTTGGACGGTGAATGCGAAGATTGAATAAGGCTTCCAAGTGAAGAGAGGGACACGGTTAGTGTCACAAAGAGCAGACGCCCCATTTTTGACAGCCAAGATCTGTAGAGAAGAAAGAACGAAAGTACTGAAACACGTTTCCATGCATTCAGGTTCCTAATGTCCCTAGCACTAAAATTAACAGTCTAAAAATATGCTTTACAGTTTTTCTGAAGCTAACGCAAAACTTCAGCCATCCAAGATAATGAAAAGCCTCTTTTAAGAAAAAGTTCCTCTTTTGTTGCCACACTTTCACAGCAACTAAATAATCAAAAACTGCTTTGGTGAACACAAAAATATGTACTAAAAATATTAATTGATGTCAAGATGGCTAAAACTTGATTTTACCTTGAAATAAACACTGAAACACTTTCTTCACAGCCATTATGGGGAGGTAAATGATTATTAAATATATTTAGATTCACACAGACAAAATCTTATGTTTCAGTTCTAAATGACAATATCGTCTATGTGTAATCTGGAGGATATGCACCCTCTACAATAAATGCACATTTGAATCAGCAAAATTACAACACAACTTTGGAAAAACTGTTCACAATATGAGTCAGTCGGACCAAAAATATAAAGTAGCCATTTCAGTAATAAATCACGCATGGTAAACAATAGGTATCTAAATGCAATTAGAAAGACTAGAAAATGCTGTGAATCCAGAAAAACTCTGAAAAACTGAAATACTTTACCCCTTCATAGTTCAGTTATGATTCAGGCAAACACAAACACACATGACAACACATCATTCAGCTGTCAAATCAGTCTAACTCATTGACCTACCTGCGATCAAGTCTTATTTTCTGCTTTCTTTTTAGTGCATCACGGGTTGTGCTGCATCTTTGGTAAAAGTATGTGTAAAGACTGATTTCTGAGGTGATACACAAGGTGCATCACAGTGAGCCTTGAACTTAGTGACTGGCGTGCTCACAACTAACTAACGGCTTATTGCACCTGCTGGTTACTTGGCAACTTTCCATCACTATGTCGCTAGTAAAACAAAGACCTGATTACCATGGCCCATTTCTGGAGAAAAAAAGTTGAATAAATAATTCATGTTTACTGTTTGCAGTGTTCATAAATGAAGGATTTTAAAATGAAAATCAAAGTGGTAAATGACTGACTGTTAATAACAAACTACAAGCCTTCTGTTTTGTTTCAATGGCAGCTGTTTAAAGGTAAATCCTTCTGAAAAGGATTACATTAAGATTCTTACAGTGGCATAAAGTCACCTGCAGTGATAAGCCAGTAAGTCACGAGCCAAGTAAGCTGTTTCATGCCAACTTACTAGCTTATTATTTTTCCAGAGTATGCATGTGAAAGACTTATGCTTTATGATCAAATTAGGAGAGTGTTAGTCACCACTCAGATGAATCCTGTGGTCTTTTCTCTATCAATAATGGATCAGCTTTCTTTCCTCTTAACGTCCACCATGGTGATAGTGTTCGGGCTAGATTTTGCTAGACAGGCAGATTTTCCGAGACTAGAAGATGTTACATTTCAAATGAAGATTCACCGCATTATGACTTTCATTTTTTTCCATGAACACTCTCAGGTCCAAGTCATCTTTGCTGACAGACCCAATTTAGCCTCAAACCATAAACGTAACCTTGTATTTTGGAGAAAAGCCAGTATATATTATACTGGAAAAAATAGTTCTGTTGCATATGCTAAAATAAATTTGTCCCCTTACTGCAAAGAATTTGGACATCTTCTTTTTAAATTACATCTTCTGGGATCATTGCTTGTGATGAGAGACCTCAAGGGGTTAATTATAATAGCCTCAGAATTTGGGTGTTTTAAAGTCTATAAACAGGGGTGGACATTTAACAAGACCTTATCCTTAACCCTAGATGTGTTGCCAACACCCTGGAAGATGTTAAGCAGTTAAAGAAAAATGTACACATACTGCATAAACGCTGCCATAAGAGAGCCCTTGTAGAGTCAGAGATAGTCTGCAGCGAGTGTGGGAATTAACTCTTTCCTATCCAGTGTGTAGAGGACACAGCCTATGCACACAGCGCATCTGTCTAGGTCCACCTTAAGAAGGGCAAGAGGCAGTTTGTTGTGGAGGGAACAGGGGGAGGCCCTCAGTAGCACATGCCTGGCTCTTTAAGGCAGACTGGGGAAGTTAGAACAAGTTAAAGGCACATGCATTCATGTTTACCAAGCTTCAGGAGAACCATCCTGGAAGAAAATGTTTGTGTTTATTTAAAGTCACGTATCTTGATTTCCAGAGTCAGAGGAAATAAATTAAACAGTTAATAATAAAATAAAATGATTAATCAAAACCAGAGATATCGTAACATAAAAACAGTTTGACCGAAAATAATAATTTAAGTAAGGAATCCCTACTAAAATATTTTTAAACATTCTTTAATCATAATTATTGAAAAAGTGACAACAAAGGCCAATTAACCACATAATGTGGCCAATATCTATCTAATTTAAAACTATACAGATCCTATTTTTCTGTAATATTAGAACAGATATTGTTCTAATAGTATGACAATAATAAGTCATTATTTTGTCTGATTTTTAAATTAATCCTCAATGAAAGGAGTGGTGCTGTAAAAGGCTGTCTATTTATTGCGATCATTCAAACTGGGTATCTGTGTATATAGGTTCTATTATTTCAATGCAAATGACCCTGTTTTAATCTAAGAGACTGTGATCATCTTCCACTGCCAGACTACGGTTGACCCACCGTTACAGATGAGACATGCCCTACCTTTAACTACACAAATGTGGTTACACTTCTCGTCCAAATGTCATGTAAGTTTTCATAACAGTGCTGCTCTTGCTACCGGGATGGGAGCTGCAGTTATCAGCCCGTTGGTTGGCAGAGCAGTGTGGAGAGCAGCCGCGTTGTTTTCGGGGCCTATACTTCCGTCATTTTATGTCTCACTTGGTAAACAGTGTGTGGGGTTTTGTGCGTGTGTCGCTGAGTGGTGTTTTTTTTGGACATACGACGTGGGATTTCGCCGCATAAATAAACCTGCTGGAAGTGGTAAACTTTTAACACAACCCGGAGCTCAGCGTGAAATAAGCAGACGTCAGAGAATCGGCCAATGGTTAAATTTTATCTCCGTGTAATCACGGCATTGTTTTGCGGGATTGCACAGCTGCTAAAATGTGCTATGTAGCCACGTAAATGGTATGCTGGTGGTAGCTGTTAGACGTTTATCGGCTTTTTGGTTTTAAACACCGTGCCTTGGCGGAAACAAGAGGATTTCATTTTATTTAAGGTAGCATGACAGGATCCAGAGCCGCCGAGCTAGCTAGCTAGCGTTAGCACAGTGGTTAGCCAGCGAGGTGTTGCTGTATTAAATACGTTCGATAGCCTCTATTATGAGTAAAACTATAGCCGTGTTGTATAAGTTACGGCATAAATTAGATTGGTATTCAACAGTGTAGAATGCAGTCGGCGGTTGCTACTCAGTGAACTATCCATATGGGTTGTGGCAAAACAGCGCCTAGCTAGCATTGTTAAGCTAGCATGCTAACAACTAGCTGTCACATAAACTGTCAATATAATGAAACCAGGCACTATTGTTGGTGCGTTGCTTCATTACTTCATTGCTATTAAACCCAGGTGATCGCTCATAGTAAACATTTAGGTTTACCTTTCAGCTAATCTGTGATTGCAGTGTTTCTTAATTGTAGGAAAAGTTGATTTAAGCAAAGCACAGGCATTGTATTAGCTCCAAGACAAATGCATTTAACATAGTAACCCTAACGTTCCCAACCTTACTGACAAACATTTAAACTGCATCATTTTAGTTGTATGTAAGAGAGAAAAGCTGTCTCTCATCATTTTACATGAACATTGCAAATGCAGCTTGTTTAGGATGTAATGGATGTAACTGTGCTCTTAGATGTGTAAAAGAAAAATCTCCTTTCCAGGTCCAGTGACAATGAACGAGCAGGAGAGTGGGGTGGTCTCCTTTGACGAATATGTGCGGCAAAAGGCCCGCACTGTGCCTCAGCACAGGATGAAGGAGTTCCTGGAGTCTCTTGCCAAGGGCCCAGAGGTGCTGCAGGAGTTCAGCCAGCAGGAAGGGGCAGCCACCAGCACAGCCATGGTGTACCATCAGCAGGGTGCCAACTGTGTTTACACAGACAGCACGGAGGTGGCAGGATCTCTCCTGGAGCTGGCCTGTCCAGTAAGACACTTTATATTGGGTGTTGAATTATGTTGTTTGGTGGTTTGCAATTACATGTACATGTTTTATAACAGGTACAGGTGACCTCAACAGAGATGTCACCCCAGCTGCATCAAGGATCTGAACAGCAGCTTCAAGTGCAGGTTAGTTTCTTCTTGTTTCAGCTGCTCTTGTTATTGGTCGGATCATCTGCCTCCATCTCACCCTATCCCACCGTATCCTCCTCTTTCACACAAACTCTCAAAGTTTGCATCCACACTGCTCAACCTGACCTGGCCCAATGATATATTCATTTCTAATCATATCCATCCTGGTCACTCCAAAAACAAAACTTAAGCTCTGTGACCTGCAGTTCCGCCTTGTCTTACTGTCAGTGCCACTGTCTCCAAACTGTAGATCAGAGCAGGTCTCACTACCGTCTTTTAAATTCTTGTTGCTATCCTTCTGTCACAAATCACCCTGCCACTTGTCTCCATCCACTCAACCCTGCCTGCAGTCTCTTCTTCACCTCTGTTGTGCACTGTTTGTTGCTTTGCATGGTTGATCCTAGAAATTTAAACTAATCAAACATGATGTCATTTGCAAACGTAGTCCCTTCCTTCCTGCCTAACCTCATACAAAAACATAGTGTGTTTAAATTTTATATAGCCGATTGTCCTCTCAGTCTCAGCACACCACAATTACTCACTAGTGTTTGGGTCATTACACAGAGACCAGAATATGTTACAAATTATTAGTTACTGTTTTAAAAAGCAGTGCGTTATTTTTGCATTACTCCATAGCAAAGCCTGATACACTGTCACACATATGAGAATGCATCTATGTTGACATTAAAAACCTGAGGCTACTAAGGATGTACCAATCCAGCTTTT